TTTCTCTTTATAATATAATACTCTTTGGAGACTATATAAATAACTAACAATCGAGAGAGAAAGTAGAAAAAGTAAAGATGTCAATGGTTGACGGGGCAACGGAGAGAGCAAAGAACCTCGTACACCCAACACCAACATCAACCTCGGTAGTCAGAGGAAACCCGTACTAACAGCCACCAAATCCACCTAACATACATGCAAATTTCAAAGTAATGGCAGAGCAACTCGCTCAGCTAGTGCGCGAGGTGGAACGCCTGGTCACCGCACCTTACGTACCTTCGCTACAGGTAAGTCGATATGGACTGTCATCGGAGTATAGTATAGTACATGCTAACAATGTAATACTAGGACCTCCATGATCTGGTGCAGCAAAGCAAATCTTCGACAATCGGTGCTTGGGCATTGTGTAAGCCGTGCCAAGTTGGCTTGTTGGCTGATGTTTTGGTCGAAGCCTTATCGCGATCACGCGTCGCTTTGCCTCTGATTACTGCGTTCGGTTTGTGCTCATCGGAAGTCTTGTTGGGACTCGAGTCTGACATGTTTTAGCATCTGCATCGTCCTTTAGAGATGTGCTGCTCGAGCGACATCCGGTGATTTTGGATGCATTTTTAGAAAAGGCCGTGGACACTAATGGGGCTGAGGTGAGCTTCATTCCTCGAATTTAACAAATCCTGACTGGAGGGCGTCAGCTAACTATCCCAGTATCTTCCGGCATGTGTCACGTTATTCTCATCGCCCCTGCCAGTGGGTGTTGTGCCACCAGCTAGGATTGCCCCCTTCATCACGAAGCTGGTCGGCATGATGGCAGAGAATCCCTGTGTTGAGACTGTAACACCTATCCATGCACTCATCTCAGGACTCAAAGGCTCGCCAAGGATCTTAAATGACATTCCGTCCGAGATCATGTCTAATCTACAGCTGGAGTTCACCAAGACACTGCGCAATCTCGACGATCATATGGGCAACCTCCTTTGTCTAGCAACCTTCGCGCAGATTGCAACGGCATTAAGTACAACAACTAAAATCCAACACGGATCAGATACCCCATGGCTTCTTAATATCAAGCATTTCTTTGGCCAGAAACGGGGTCTCAAAACACTCGACTTGGTCGTCTTGCGTGTTATACTAGCGTGCTCATCCAGTTGTAACTTGGCGCCGCCCGACGCGGCTGAGAGTATTCGGCTGGCTATTTGCATCGCTGATGCAATTGAGCCTGAGCAGAAACAGGCTTGGATGGCAGGTAATACTCCTAAGATTGCTAAGCTGTGTGAGAAAGCTGTCGGAGACGGTCTCTATGATCAAACACAAACGATGGTTAGTTATGACTGTCTGTGTATCGAGTCAAAATGCTAATCACTTGATAATAGGCAATTTTATTTTTGCACACACTTCTCCCGGCACACTCATTGCCATCCCAGCTACGTGAACTTGGGATAAAGGCCCTTTTGTTCAAGAATAGCCAAGAGGCTATGGAAAAGATACCCCATCAACTAATTCCACGCCTCGCGAAGTCTTTAGCTGTAAGTATAAGCGTTCCTGTCTGTGAGCAACCTTTGACAGCTGACATCAACAGGAATCTGGAGAACCTGCCACTCGTCAGCTTTTGGCCTTTACTTTTGGTGTCTTAAGAGGTAATAAATGGTCGGGGATTGGAGAGATGGCAGCACTCCACTTGGCACACTTGGTATTGGCTGGTATGCAAGAGGTACATGCGGAGATCATGCTCTCTAGTCTCAACAACTCCATGCTCCCTTTGAGGGAAGTGCTCGGGGAAGTGGTTGAGTACTTTCCCCGACAGCCAAGCGAAAGCCAATGCAGTGGTCGAGCATGGTGTGCATCGGAACTATCCACAAAGCAGAACGGACTGTTTCTATCCTTATTACGACTTTACAACAGGGCTTCAGCACGAAACGGAAGCGACATTATCATGAAATCCTTTATGGGAAGAGTAGAGCAATCAATGCCGAGCCTCAGCTGTGCCTTCTCAACAACAACTCCCAAAGCCTTCCGTGGCTCTTTAGCCTTGCACGATAGGCATGACTTTTCGTCAACTCAGATAAACCGCAATTGGCGCTCGGGAGTTACCGAACTCTTCATGCAGAATGCCCAGACCTCTCACGAAATTATGATGAGAAAGATCGAGGACACGTGCTTTGACCTGGAGCGTCGATGTCACGATGTAGAAGGACCCTTACGAGCTGTCGAGGAAGAGCGGGACTTATATGCGAGCGAAAACGAGCAACTGAGAAGGCAAAATGAAGAGTTGAACGAGCAACTGAAAGCTCAAAATACAGAGACTCAAACCAAGTTAAGGAACTCCCACGACTCTTTTATTGAACTTAACAACGAGAAAACACGTCTTGAGCAACTCCTTCAAACTCAATGCACATATACCGACGAGCTGACTATGTCGCTCGAATCTGCACGTGAGGAGCTTCAGCAACAGCAGAGGAGTTCTGAGAAGGCACTTCTCGTCGAAAAAGAAAAGGCCCGCTCTAAGGAACTGGAGATGATGGCTACTTTGACTGGAAAGGATGATCAACTGGAAGATCTTCAGGAGGAGATGTGCAGTTTGCAAATGAAGAATGAGCAGGCGCGCCAAAGTTTTGATCAAATGTCAAGCGAAAAGGCCACTTTATCCGAGCTCTCTAGCTCTCTGGAGCAAGAGCTTGCTAGCGCCACAGAGGCATTGAAGCAAACCAGACTTTATGCCGATGAGAAAGAAGATGAATTAAGCCGCCTCCTTGCTCAGGAGGAAGAGTTGAGAAAGGAACTGGGATCCGTGGAATCAACAGTAAGTATTTTTGGCTTTCCTTTTTGTCATCAGTGGATACGAATTGGTTTATACTGACTGTGTCAAGGTTGCGCAACAGAATCTTGAAATCGAGAGGCTATATTCTAGATTGGAAGAATCCGAGGAAAAGTCGCGGAGTGAGATTGAAAAACTGAAGCATGACCACGAAGTTGAAGCTTCTTGGACCACATCTGAGGTATGTATACGCATGCCTCAAATCTACGTATGGTTGAAACTAATCATGTATCAAAACAGATGGCAAAACATGAGACAGAAAATCGGCGATTACAGGCAGCTATGCAAGCTGCCGCTCTTGATGCTTCCAGGGATGCCCAGTTGAAAGACAAACGGATCCACCACTTGGAGAGAAAGGTAACCAACACTACTTATATGTACAAAACTTGGACACTCTAACGTTAAATTTAGGTGCAAGCCTTACGAGACGAACGTGCTGCCAAGGCCCGTGAATTCTCCGAGGCACAACAACACATCGGCCGTTTAATGGGCGTGATGGGCTTCTCTGCCAACACCCCCGAGTCAAACGCCCCTCCAAGGCATCAGCGAACCAGGTCCTCTGTCAACGCCACACCAACCGCAAGGGTGCCTCAAACCATAAGTGATGATGAAAATGGCATACAGCTGGAAGAGTCTTTTGAATCCATGGCCTCCAACTTCAACGGGCCTACTCCAAAACGACCAAGAGGGAACCGCAAATCAACAATCCTGCCTTATGATTTGAACACTCCCTCAGCTGCAGCTCCCAAGACGAAAAGCCCGCCAGGGGCCAGCGGCACGTCTCGCTCGGTAAGAAAGCCACTGGCAGAGGCTGACCACAACAGCCCGACAAAATCACAGTTAAGCAGTGCATCGAAACGCAATCAAGTAGATGACGCTTTCCAGGAGACACAAGCCCCGGGGAACTCGGAGGAGAACCGACTTCATAATCTGGATTTGGATATGGATCTTGAGTTTTCTAAAGACTTTCTTTTTTCGAGCACCGCATTTACTGGGTCAACGGATCAGATACCCCCACAATGAGGATGTTGCCTAGGTGGTAGTGGAGTTGTGTAACTAGTCCTAGAGGTACATATGTCTTGAATAATTGCATCATGTCCATCCCGTCTGTTGCTTTTCAACGTGTCACTAGTACCCACATAGTAGCTGCATTTACGCGCGATCAATAATCCACGCAAACTCCTAATTGCCTTAACATTAGTCTCAGTTTCTTTCAATGCGTCATTACTGGCACCACCGCCCGCTGCTTTATCTACTACCATGCTGAGTCAATTGTTTAAAGCTTTGGAGTGTGTCCCTTCATTCCATTTCTCTTCGGATTATACACTGTCTTGGTATTTTCAACCTGGATGGTGATTTATTCGCTCATACACTCTTAAGCAGAGGAAATCTATATCTGCTTTTCACTTGTCTTACCTGGCAGTTGCCAACCCTGAGCCCGCTAAATGTGTATAGCAAATAATACACATTTTTAGCTTCATTGCTTGCCTCTTCGGTTTTCTAAAGGCAGTAAGTAATATATCACTTATCAAGACGTGGCTTTGCTGTGCAGGTTAACTATTGTCAATGAAGACAGGACTATCAATTTGGCCGGATAGGTCCGATTTGCCTCGAAGAGCAGAAGTATTGACCAACTGAACTATATAGTGCCGGAAAACTCCTCAATTTCGCGTCATTCTTGAAAAGAAGAATTTTACGGGAATATTTTAAGCAGGTTTAGTTCGTATGTACAATTTAGATGTATCTAACTCCACCCATTCTCACTCGACTAAATTCAAACTGATCTGGTGAACTCTCAGATTCCATACCTCTTATTCGTTTGATACCTCATCTGATAGTCAATCCTCTCATTGCAAGGCCGCTACACTTTAAGAAGGTCGCTCTTTCCGCTAAACACGCTTTTTGTGCATTCTGACGTTCCATGTCGACTCTTAGAGCATCGTTCTATTGTTCTTTCCAAGGTTCCTTGTATGTAGTCTTTCGGTCTGCCCTCGTCACTTGTTTTGTTCTTGGTCCTTAATGCTGTGCCTGCGTACATGTATTTGTGCCCTTCCTTCCAACTCGGAGGTTCCTTCCTATATATTTCCATCCCTCACTCACATCCGCATTTCTTCCTCTTCTTCCTCTCCTTCCTCTCCTTCCTCAACTTTATCATTCTTCACTGCTTTCTTCTATCATAATCAGGTGCAAGATGACAGCTTCACATATCCACAACACAAATCACTCCAAGCCCAACCACCCGAGATTGGGTTCCCCCGACCCCCCTGGCCCTCCTCACCATACCTTGCAAGTCCGGGACTGGCTCACCTGGAGATCATGGAAGAAGTGTGCGGTCGACTTATTGAATCTTCCAAGAGAGATGAACACCCACGACATCTACGATGCCTTCAATAAGTATGGGAATCTAATTTCGATCGACGTTTGGGAGGACGCATCGGGACGTCCTGATTCCAGAGGACGTATTCGCTTCAAGTAAGCATTCTCGCCCTCCGTTCTGTTGCTTAGGTAAAGTTTGCTGACAATATATAGACCTCCTCCAAGTGAAGACTTCTGGAAAACCGGCTCTTTCGGTGTGAAGCTTCGGAGTGGGCGTGTGACGGTGATTTCACTCTCTGTCTGCTGTGATGACTCGAACGGGACCATCCCAAGTCCAGTCCGCTCAGATGTTCAGCTCCCGAGTGAGCTTGTGAGTGAATACATGTCTATGAGATTATTTTCAAATACTGATGGCTATTTTGAAGGAATTGAAAACTGTTCAAGTCGACATCGGTGTCCCGCTAGGTCCGTCCACCGTTCACTCTATGCAAAGCTTTACCAACTTAGCATTCCCCAGGTGTGTTGTGGATGTCATGCGCAAGTGCTTGCTCCTGTACTTCAAAGTGGGCATTCGGGGGTCGGAGGCTACAGATGTAATGCAGCATGACTATCGTGTCAAAATCACATTCCTTCAACTGACCCGGATTTACCAACAATATGACAAAGCGACGAGAGAGCACTCCTTTTTGATCGTCCTAGACTCCGCCGCGATCTGGCACCGAAAGGCCAAGGACATTCAGTCCACAGTGACAGAACCGTTGAGCTGGAGAGAAGAGGATAGTTGGTATCGACAAACCTCCGTCACACATAACCCGAACTCGCTGAAGAATCTGCCCACCAGTTTGAAGAAGACGGGACATATCATTGACCTGGGTAAGCGTCGTCATCCGCTCTAATTCTGTATGCTTACCAATATTTATTGCTAGGGCGATGGAACGTGTTCAGGATCTCATTCGCACCCGACGCGGACCCCAATACACGCCGTGTCGGCGATACCAGTCACTATTTGATGCTTGTCGGAGATATTTTCAAGGACTACAACATCTCCATCAAAGATGGGAGTCACTTTGTGGAGAAACCAGACCGACCTGTACCAGTGTGGCATTGGATTGACTTTTCTGAGTCCAAGTCCAGCAAGGCCTCCGCATTACTGCAAGATCTGGGAGATCAGAACTATTTACACCTCCCCTTCAAGGTACGGTATCAACTAGAGGTGTGCTTGTCTCATGGATATCTATCTGAATTCACCATGACCCGGGAATTTGTAGAATTATTGAAGGACCTTGGTGGTGATCAAGCTACAAGACTGCTTGAGTTCGTTGCAACTGAGAAGAAACAGTACCTTGATCCCATGGAAATTCTTGATCTCAAATTCTTCAAGGGGGTGACTGACTCGAAGATTCCGAGCTACTGTTGCTTCATGCACACAGCACGAGTCACTCCGACTACAATTTACTACAATACCCCAACAGTGGACATCTCAAATCGAGTCGTGCGCGAATGGTCCACCAAAGGTGCCCCTGGGCGCTTTCTTCGGGTTCGATTTACAGATGAGAGAACTGAAGGCCGTATCAACTCTTCATTGGGCGATTCCAACGATGAAATCTACACCCGTGTCAAAAGGACACTGGCCAACGGTATCACCATTGGAGACCGCCGCTACGAGTTCCTCGCATTTGGTAACTCACAGTTCCGTGAGCATGGCGCATACTTCTTTTCGCCGGATGCCGGTGTCTCAGCGGCAACCATCCGGGCCTGGATGGGTCAATTCAACCATATTCGAAATGTGGCCAAATATGCTGCAAGACTGGGACAATGCTTTTCGACCACCCGAGCCTTCACCGGATCTTCAGTTCAGACTACTCCGTGCAATGACATTGTTCGTAACGGCTTCACGTTCTCAGACGGTGTTGGGAAGATTTCAAAATTCCTTGCCCAGATGGTCACATCCCAGCACAACATTAAAACCCTCACTGGAGAGCCTCCTTCGGCTTTCCAATTTCGTCTTGGGGGAGCCAAAGGTATGTTGGTTGTCTCTCCGGACCCTGTCCCTCAGGAGGTACACATTCGACCAAGTCAGCAAAAGTTCGAAACCAATCAAACCGGTTTGGAAATCATCCGTTGGTCCCAATATTCTCTTGCGACTTTGAACCGCCAGCTGATCCTCGTGCTTTCTGCTCTGGGTATCCCGGATAAAGTCTTCCATAGCAAACTTAACAGCATGTTGGGTAACTTCCATCGAGCCATGTGCAATGATTCGAAAGCAACCAACCTTCTGCAAAAGTACATCGACCCAAACCAAACGACCCTAACCTTGGCTCAGATGGTATCTGATGGCTTCCGAAAAAATGAGGAGCCGTTTGCCACTACCATGCTTGAACTCTGGAAGTCCTGGCATCTGAAGCATCTCAAAGAGAAAGCAAAAGTTGCCATAGACCAAGGAGCCAACCTTCTCGGTGTTATGGATGAGACAGGCGTTTTGAAGGGCTACTTTAAAAACAAATTACCACACAGAGGAGCCTCCTATGCAGAGAAACTGGCCGCTCTCCCTGAAATTTTTGTCCAGATATGCCGGCTAGATAGAGCTGGTGAGTACGAAATCATTGAAGGTCTCTGCATTCTCGCCCGCAACCCTTCCCTTCATCCGGGAGATATTCGCGTGGTTCGAGCAGTAAACCGACCGGAGCTGCAAGGACTCCGGGACGTGGTTGTGCTTCCTCAAACTGGCGACCAGGACATTGCGAGCATGTGTTCTGGGGGTGATCTTGATGGTGATGACTACCTCATTATTTGGGATCCTGATTTGATCCCCGCGAGATGGTTCATCGAATGCATGGACTACAAGGGCTCCAAAGCCCCGGACCTTGATCATGATGTGACAGTTGACGAGATCACTTCATTCTTCGTCACCTATATGAAGAATGACTGCCTTCCTCGAATTGCACACGCCCATTTAGCCTGGGCTGACAGACTCCCGAAAGGCGTGTGGGAAGAAAAGTGCATTCGTCTTGCTCGGCTTCATTCTGATGCAGTGGATTATAACAAGAGCGGTGCGCATGCGAGAATGGCCCGCTCTTTGGATCCCAAATTCTGGCCCCATTTCATGGAGAAGCGATTCAAGAGACCATCCAGCATTTACAAGTCCACCAAAATTCTCGGTCAGCTGTACGACGCAGTGGTAACTCCTGACTTCGTCCCCAAGCTAGAGAAGCCCTTCGATTCTCGCATCCTAGAATCCCCGCTGGCTCCAGCAAGTGAGAGCTACATGGAATACGCCCGCGAGCTCAAGGCGGAATTCGACATGAATATGCGACAAATCATGGCTCAGTATGAGATCAACACTGAGTTTGAAGTGTGGTCAACCTTTGCACTCCGCCACGGCTTCGTGATTAGAGACTACAAGATGCAGGAAGACCTAGGAAGAATCGTGGGTACACTCCGTCGTGGATTCCGCCACCAGTGTTACGACAAAGTCGGCCGTCAGGGAGGAAATATTCCTGCCTTGGTCATCGCCATGTACCGTGTTACGCATGAGCAGGTAGCTGCAGCACTGGAAGCTCGACGCAAAGAAGCACTGCAGAGAGAAGATCTTTCTATTGTTGAAGTGAACTCCACTGAGCTTCCGCTCATTAGCTTCCCTTGGATTTTCCCTGACGTCCTCGGTGATGTTGCAACGGGCCGGGCGCGACAGGCTTTGGTCTCGGAGGGACAAGCAAGCGTCGATTCCGCAAAGCCCATCGGTGATGGCCTGGTCTTCACTCACAAGCAAATTCTCAAGATCGTTGAAGATATGGATGAGGACGTGAAGCCGAAGGGTGAGGAGAATACGAAGCCAAAGGCTGAGGCGGGCTCTGGCTCCGCGCCCCCAGGTCAAGAACTCATTGCTCGTCGACGAATTGACAAGAATAAACATATTCCAAACCCCAAATACACAAATGAGGGAGTGTGCTTCGATGAGGATGATGGGAAGGAGGGTGAGGTAAACATTGGTGCTGCTCAAGCCGAAGAAAGGGTTGAAAAGGAGACTGTGACGGAGAATATCGTTGAAATGGATGGCGATGTCCAGCCTTCAGCGCTGGACGCTCTGATCAAGATGATTAATAGTTGATCCTCGCTCACGGGAAAAACCCAAAAAAATGGGGGTAGGTGGAATTGCAGGCCATCGTTTTTACTTAGAGGGTGCGAATGAAACTGGACGCTCAAATTTGTTTATCCAATTTGTACCTAAACATTAACAGAGTCATTAGTCTGTGGGGGTATATCCAAATCAAACCTCCAATTGCTCAAAAACATAGTGCCCAGGTGTATCCAAAAGGTTACCAATCCAATCCTTCATCCCCCTTCCGTTCCAGTAATTCAACCACAGGCTCCAACACAGCCCTGGAGTGTCTCCAATTAGCAGCATCTCTAGTCCTCGAATAAAAGATAGAGCAATCCAAACTATCACAGCTAACCTCATCACCAGGAGAAACACCCATACAAGAGCGACAAATAGCTTCCAAGTCAACGACTCTCTTTTCCGCCCTCTGCAGCCGCGACACAACATCGAGCAACGTAAGATGTGGTTTCTGCAGACAATCCCCACAAACAGGCACTGCAGCATCAGACAGTCTCGACCGACAGACAACACACGAAGATGACCGCATATAAGACTCAAGTGTCTTCCTACTAACCCCACCAGCACGAGAATTCGGCCTCGCAACCGCCGACCCCTCAACCCGCCGAATCCGCTGCACCTTTGGCATCTCATCATACCACTGACGAACATTCGCACCGACAAGATTAAAAATCCTCTCTAGCGGCGGAATAATATTTTTCGTGATATAGTACTCTGCATCAATCTCAAGCTGCGCATCATCCAAAAGTGTCTGCGGCGAAACACATCGATCAACAAGCTTCGACCCAGGCGCACCGGTGACAACAACGTACGGGACGCGCTCCCCGGTTTGTGGCTCCGAGCGTGGATCCTCCATCATGCGCTTTGTGCTTATCACCGCGCCGGCGGGTAGATTGCGCTCAGCATACGTTCCCAGCCGTACTTCGCGTGCGAAGCAGAAATCTTGTATGGAGATGCGGCCTTGCATGATTTTTGCGCATTGGCGCTGGAAGTAAGATTTCACTTGGGACAGGTCTGCGGTGCGGAAGAGTGTTTTCAGGGCTTTTTCTTCGATTTTTTGTTCGGCGGGTGTTCCGTCTCGGCGGACAGTTTCGATGCCCTTTGCGTCGAATTCGGGCTCTTTTTGGTTGCGGTGCTCGTATTTGAAGCCTACGTAGCGTTTCTTCGCAAGTAGGATGCAGGGGTGGTAGACTTTTTCGAATTTTAATTTTATCGGACGTGGGTTCAGGTCGGTTACTGCTTGGGCGATTTCTTCGCCAATATCGAAGGCTTGGTCGCGCGTCCGGCCTTTAAGGTAGACGAATAGACTGTCGGTGTCGCCGTAGACGACTTCGGCGCCCCAGCGATCGATGGAGTGGATGAAAGCGATGGCTTTTTCGAGGGTTTCGCGTCCGGTTTGGACGATGCTGTCGGCGATTTCCGAACAGGGCATTCGTCCTGAGAATGAGGCAGATGTGTAGCCGTATGTGACGTTCGCGATCAGTTTAAGTGCCAGTTGTCTGTTGTTTAGGAGCCGTTGTAAGACCTTGTCGTCCTTGTCGGCTTTCATGCCGTTTTTGATCATCACACGGGTTTCGAGGATCTCGGAAAGCATCTTGGCTAGCAGTGACTGACGTGCTTCCTGCTTCGCATACATCATACCATTTGGTGCGATGTTGATCTTGTCTTTTAGTAACTCGAGCAGTCTGGGCTGGCGCTTGTAATCCATGAACCCCATTTTATCACGTCCGCGCCAGTGCATTGCTCTGCCTAGGAAGGTTGAGTAGCAGTAATTGTACGCGATCATGACACTCGGGTACAGTGACTGGAAATCAAGCACCAGGAGTGGGCTAGTGTAGAAGTCACTTTGTGGTTCCATCACTAGAGGCAAGCATTCTAGTGCGTTCTGCTGTCCGACCTGCTTTCTGCTTGGTGAGACGAGCAGAAAGTTCTCTGGCTTCGCAATTCGGAACATCAGAGACTCAACTTTGAACTGGGATCCCCGGGAAATCACGGAGGCAAAATCAATACCCAGCAATCTCGCCTGCTCACTTGTCCTTGGTGTCAATTCATTGGCCTCGATAATTTCCAGATTCATTTGCACACGAGAGGTGAAATATTCCACGACTTTGAGGAGATTGCGAGGTTTGCCGCTTTGGTGCCATTTCGTCAGTTCTTCGGGGGAATAATGAGGAATTCGCCGATGCAAGACATGGAAGACAACATTCTCCATGGTGTACTGTAGAAGATTCAGCTCGCCTTTCATAGCGCGCCAGATATTGAACATGTGTCGCCCAGTGATGCGAATGGATGATGAGTGGTTGTGCCCCCACTGATCTGTCTCTTTGCCGAATCGTCCATTAGAGTGAGATTTGGTCCTTGAAAGCTCCTCGCAGATGTCAAAGTCGTACTTCTTGCGCGCTCGCTCAATCACGTATCCCCAAGAAGCATTGTGGACCTCATATCCCGTGATAATGTCCGGATCGTGGTACCGGACAATGTCTATGAGTCGGTTTATAAGGTCCAGTTCCGTTGGCTCACACTCGATCTCAATTGTCAATGCCTTGGAAATTTTGGCTTCCGGCCTCTCGCCTTCCCCGTGGTAAACCATCCCAACATGAACTCCTGGAAGATGACTATTGACTTCAAGATCTTCGTCTTCGGATTGGACGCACCAGAACAAGGAAGTGATCTCGTCCTCTTCGGGGTTGGCCATTAGAGTTCCGCGCGTGTTCACATGCACTTCTAAGCTCATTGTGCTCATGTGTTGGGCCTGATGTTCCACGCTAGTGGACACTCCATGCTGCGAGTATTTGAAGCCATGTGCGTTCTTCTGTGTGGGGCCCTCGATCTGTGAGAGGAAGTCTGATTTCATTTGAGCAGGCATGGCTTGGGCTGGTTTTTGGTTAGGTTCTTGCGAGGCCTCCAACTCTTTAAACCACTGTATGACGTCCAACCGACTTGGCGGAACAGGTGCAAACTCCCAGACTCTCGCCGTACACCTTTCTCGGAGTTGTCGATCAACCTTTCCTTGCTGATCTTGGTCGTGTGTTGCTTGTATCTGCTCACCATACATTGCAGGGCCCTCTGCCGTTGGGTCAAAATCGGGTAGATAGTGAATTGTGTTGCTCTCCAGCCGAAATTCTCTGCCACCATATTCTCGTGGTCGTTCCGGCACATCCGTTTCATCACTGTAAAATGCTCTTTGATATACAACAGAAGGACGCCCATGTTCATTTATTGTCGAACTGACTTCCGTAGAAGTTGGGCTGGCAAATTTGAAGAAACGTAATGATGTGTTTGGTGTAAAATTGAATGATTGATGGATGTTTTTCATGGTCTCGGCGAGATGCGGATCGAGAGAGACTGGACCCATCACTGTTGCAGAGGAATGTAGCTTTGATGACCTCTGGGTTTCACTAGTTTCGCCTGACAATTCCGTGGCAGATCCAGAAGGGAAAGAAAAGAGATGTTGGGGTGACTCGAGGTCTTTTTTTGAAGAATTTGCCTCATCTTGGCTGTAGCGCAAAATGGTCAAAGGATCACCGGGGTCCTTGACTACCGGGAATTTCAAACCGCTGGTGTAACTATGCGCCTTTGGACGGACTGTCCTCTGCGAGGAAGATGATTTTGGTTCTGATGACGGGGTTTCCGCGGACGAATCCAACTTGCTATCAAAGGAGACATTTTTCTGTTTGTCATCTTGCTGGTGCTTCCGCGTGTTGTGTGTTTCCAATGGTCCGTCGGACATACCGTGTTTGGCCATATGTCTAGGTCTTTTGGTAGGCGAATGGGGGGAATCGAGAGTTTCAAAGTATTGTCTTTTAGGGGCTACACTTCTGCTTTGACTCGGGTCTCTGGGCCTTTTTTCTTGGGCTTCAGAAATTCCTTCCTTGTAGACACCATCCATAGTTGCTTTGAGGTTGCTAGTCTCAGCAGGCTCCGCAAGTGCGGCCACATCTGAAAAGGGCATTTCGTCAAAGACCTCATCGTAAAAGCTCTCGCCCAGCAGGTCCTCTTTCGTTTCAGGATCCTGTTCGGTTCGCCCTTCCAATGAGTTCCCTCCTTGATCAGAATCTGAGTAATACTGTCCGTCGTTTTGAGAGGACAAAGCGAGATCCTCATCAACCGAGATTTCCGGTACATTTTGCTCGACTGATTGCTGGGAAAAGCTGCTATCAAAGACCAAAGTACTGATTTTGTCAGGAAAGAAGTCCTCAACACTATCCAAGGCAGTCTTGACATTTTTGGCTAGATCGTCAGAATCCAAGAATGTCCCAAATGACGTATCATTGTTGCCATCCTGGTGTTTCTCATTAGCAGCAAGCTGAGCAGCCATCTCACGAAATTCTTCCTCGTGTATCCAACCACTTCTCGACTGATCTCTTGGATCCGCAGACATTGAAACCAATTCCTCGGGTCCAAACGGGGTGCTTCCGGGATCAGTAATGCCCATCCTTTTTTTGCGTCTGCGGGTTTCATCCTGCCACAGTCCAGCCATACTAGGAACGAGCCGCTCGCTAACCGCGACAGGTTTCAAAAGCTCAGTGAAATCATGGTGTAAAGGCCGTTCTTTTACATCAAGGCGGTTCAGGATATCTTGAACACAGATATCAACCTCTAATGCGCAATTGCTTTGCTTCTGTAATGCAGGGTGGTCGAGTATGCTCTCAGGTGGGATTGAGCGATCGTGCCAGCGATGGGCTAGATTGCTGAGCTCGAGATACTCAGGCACCGGTGCTCGGAACTTGACCTGACTACAGTTCATGGTTGCACATCCGTACAAGTTGTAGTCACACATCCATTGCGGAATATATTGCACATGTGCCTCGTAGGGTTGAAGCGGACGTTTCATCACAGCTCCCTGGTGCAGAAGATCAACCAGGCGATTTGTATGGGAGGGGTTTAAAAGATAAATTTTGAAGAAGAACCGATATCCCACATGGTATCCGTAGAACGGGACTCCTTTCACCAAGGTGATGTGCGCCACAAACGCTGTCCTCCGGTCATATGCATTTCGGCGAAAACTGACTGCTAGAGCATGATCGATTGAGAGATGAAGAGTTCTGGTTGCCGAGTTTACTACAATTTGGTAAGTCAACCCATCAAATCATGAATATGACTATCACTAACCATCTTCTGGCGACAAGGAACCGTTGTATTCAATGTAGAGGTATGGAAATGTGCCATGGACATGCACGCAAACTCTCTGGCCGGTCTCGGTGGCTCCGAATATTCGAATGATAGGCACCTTAGGCTTAAAATCTTTCTCTGAGACCTCATCACGAAAAGGTAGTGGAGGATCCAACTCCGACGCGGTCGCCTGGTAATGATCGATACAGTTGAGATGCACACGGAATGGCTCCATCGCTCTGGTGTGTGGCGACCAGAAGCCACAGCAACATTGCGAAGGACAAATGGTTCACGCGCCGCTTATTGCATGTGTGTCCTGTTTGGCATCTCAGTAAAAAATAGCTGAGAAACGCGACCGAGGTATGCCCATGGCAACGCGAGATAACGCCTAGTCACGTGTCTAATATCAGTTCTCCACCCGCCAAGCCTATCGCAACTTCACTCATCTTTCATCTCACGACAAGAAAGAGCTACAGGTGGCTCGATTTACTTTCTCACTTACTTCCCTTTCTTTCTCTCCTAATTCAAACTCGTCCCTTTCGAATTTAACCTACCAGTCATGTCGCGAAAGCCTGCGGATGTGGCGTCGAAAACGCCCAACGAGTACATTCCGTCCTTCATCTCGAAAAAGCCATTCTACGTCGACGATGAGACAAACAACGACTACCTGGAGCATCAGCGTCTCCAAAAAGCGACTCCTGATCAGTCAAAATGGTATGATCGAGGAAAGCGTGCGGGCCCAGCAGCCACCAAATACCGCAAAGGCGCATGTGAAAACTGCGGCGCGATGACACACAAAACCAAAGAGTGTCTGAGTCGACCCCGAAAGCAAGGTGCCAGATGGACTGGAAAGGATATCCAGGCAGACGAACTTCTCCAGAAGGTCGATATGGGGTGGGATGCCAAAAGAGATAGGTGGAACGGGTACGATGCCACCGAATATCGCCAGGTCGTCGAGGAATATGAAGAGATGGAGGCCATCAAGCGAATGGCGAAGGATGATGCAAATCTCAAAAAACTTCAAGCCGGTGAAGATGGCGATGAAGCCCCCGATTCGGATATCCGGTACGCTGAAGAATCCGACATGGGACGACAACAGAGTACCGCAACCCGCAACCTACGTATTCGAGAAGACACCGCCAAATACCTGCTCAACTTGGACCTCGATTCCGCAAAATACGACCCTAAAACACGCCGAATGGTGGACATGGGTGCACAGGATGATCAAGCCGCCGCACTTGTCGCCGAGGAGAATTTCGTCCGTGCTTCAGGCGATGCTGCGGAGTTCGAGAAAGCTCAGCAATATGCGTGGGAGTCACAAGAAAAGGGTCTCCCTCAACTACATATTCAAGCCAATCCGACATCTGGAGAAGTTCTCAGAAAGAAGGAGATGGTTGATACTGAAGCTAAGCGTGAGGCGCATCGCAAGGCTCTCCTGGAGAAATACGGTGGTGCGGAGCACTCGAAACCAAGTGCGCTGCGAGAGACTATGGTCGTTGAAAACGAGCGATTCATTGAATATGATGAGAGCGGCGCCATCAAAGGCGCACCCAAGAACGCAACCAAATCCAAATACCCGGAAGACGTGATGGTCAACAATCATACTTCGGTCTTCGGCAGCTGGTGGTACCAATTCAAATGGGGATATGCATGCTGTTGTTCCACTGTGAAGAACAGTTACTGTACAGGGGAAGATGGAAAGAAGGCCTTTGAGGAAGAAGGCAACATGTTGATGATGACTGGAGCAGCCGATGACAATGACCAGGTTTCGGAGAACGCTGAAAATGCGGATCTCGCTCGCGAGTCTGAGCAAGCCGACGGCAAAGATCAAGAACAGGATTCAAATACCAATGGGAAAAAGCGGACGCTGGAAGAATTGAAGTCAGGCGTCACAGAGGAGGAATTTGAGTCATACAAGCGGAGCCGGTTGGCTGCTGAGGATCCTATGGCGAAGTTTTTAGGGAAAGATTGATTCTGATGATGTTCTCCATATACTACTTGCATGGGCGTTCGGATGTACTAAAATACCCTCTTGATGTGCTATTTAAACAGTGAACAAATGCACAACCCAATGTCGTTTACTCATCTTTCTGGTGTAGTTGTAAATCCCCACCTCAAGATAATATGCATAAACGAAATAAAATAAATGTGAATTAATGATGGATGCATAACTCTATAATTGGTTGGCTTTCCAAAACGAAATGGACTCACGTGACTTTGTTGTAAGCACAGACCATCTAAATCCAATGAGGGTTAGTCGGTCACGGGATCCAGGCAAGCCCTGACCCACGTGATTGACTAACGCACTCGCTTAGAGCACAATCGCCAGATCTTGGGCAAGTTTCGAGACGCTTAGCGACGACGACCCGACAACCAGCCCCTTCAACGGAATTGCCAGGTACGTCCGCATGCTGGTCCCTTCACCAGTGCTCACTTCAACCCCCGTCAATTTACTAACATATCTCCTCGTCCACAGTTCCATAATTCAAGATGAGTACGTCCGATGCCGAAACATCGCACCGCGATCCTCCGCAACGTCGAATAACTTCAAACTAACAACCGCCACAGCTAAGGGTACCTCGAGCTTCGGAAAGCGCCACAACAAGACGCACACTCTGTGCCGTCGTTGTGGTACGTATTACACCTATTTTTCACGATCCCACCCATCCGACCCGCAGTCGCAAATTTCTACATCGAAAGACGGAATGAGCGATTACGGCGAAGACAACCACACAACCTAGAAAGTATAAGGGCTAACCGGTGATATCTACGACCCTACAGGCAAGCGGTCTTTCCACATCCAGAAGTCGACTTGTGCCAACTGCGGCTACCCTGCTGCCAAGACCCGCAAGTGTACGCAAATACCCTTCCCGAGAACGTTGGTGATGTGAATGGTGGCCATTATTTGGAATTTGGGCACCAAGTCGAGAACTCTGGCTTACATGCATTTTTTTACGAACAGACAACTGGGGTGAGAAGGCCAAGCGCCGCAAGACCACCGGCTCCGGCCGCATGCGCTCCCTGCGCGATGTCCACCGCCGCTTCCTTAACGGCTTCCAGACCGGTACCCCCAAGGGTGCCCGTGGCCCCGTCACCAACTAGATTCCCTTTTCGTCCGCTCGGCGTCGCGTTTTCGTTATCGGAGAGGCTGGAATAGGAATGAGGGGAGGGATCCTGGCATGACATGAATTAGCATTACGGGATAGCATTACTCGAAATGCAATGGCAGTTCCGGACTCTTATCGCTTTCCCGTGGAGTTGTTGGTGTGTGCAACTGTCGATCGCGTTGGTTCTCTTTGCCACGCCAAGGATGACAAAGTAGAACTTGCGAGACGATGGGAAAAGTTTCGTTGAGGGGCTCTTTTCTACGGAAAGGAGCTGGATTAAAAAAACCCTGGGAAAGCGTGAATGAATTTCCTTTTTTTCGTTTATGGCTGGCGAATATCCCATGTCATGACAGATACAATGTGAAGACTCTTCCTACCATTTCATGGTCTGTTCTACTCAGTACGAGGCTCTTCGGTTGAAAAGACGCAGATACTTGAATTGGGCATGATTTAACGGCTGTTACGAATAAGCTCGTGGCTCTAGCGAACATCTAACCCATAGTATACAGTCTCGACTCATGATTCTCCACGACCAAATACCTTGACACCGCCATCCCGTTGAATGAAGTATAACGCCTCTCGCTCTTCCAGGCTCTCTTCTTCGCTCGTGTTCAGCCCACCACCTCGGCTGATTCTCAGTACCCCGCTCACATCTTTTGCAGCTCCGGTATCCAAAGTGCGGAGCTGCATGACCGACCGAGCCCGATGCGCCAGCCCAATGACGAGTGCCGCATGTTCTGTCTCTATTGGTGTAGCCAGCTGCTCTCCCGATGGGGATGCATTGTGTATTAATGGGGCATCCGTAGCTAACGTCAAAACCGTAGCATGTGCATGCTATCGAACAAATAGTCAGCCCTGTAACTGTAAACCTTGTTTTTGTCTATCAAGAAGTGATAAGGCCTTACCTGTTGTAGCGCTGTGATCCACTCCGACATCTCTGTTGCTCCGATTCCCATACTTGGGCCTGTCGCAGCAAGGAGCAGATCAGGCTGATCTATAATGAGGAGAAGCTCATCGCCATCTTCCATTGAACTCTTCTGCTGTTCAATCACTGATAGGATATCTTTCTCCAGTGCGTCAAGGGAGGCAAGACCACGGCCAGAGAAATGGAGCTTCTTTGCAATCCCAGGTTCAGCCTGCTTCGGCGCCACATTTCCTCTCACTCCTGTGGCTGTTGGTGCCACCGGCTGTGGTGACCTTCCAGGTACGGCACCAGGTGCAGACCGCATTGGAAGTGTTGTGCGTGGATTGCTTCCCAGACCAGCCGGTAAGATGCTGGGAGGAGTTGCTGTGGCTTGTGGTGCGTAGAACAGCTCAGACAGGCCATCTATGAATGCAAATTGTTGCTTATCCGCCAAGCGCGTAAGGTCAAGTCCCTATAACTCTGATTAATGACCTCGATCAAAGGATGTATCAATACATGAGTAATATAAGAAATGGAACGCAAATGCATGTTTCAAATTCAAATATCAGTCAATTTGTTTCCTCAACTTACCAGTCGCTTTGCCTCAGTCCTCCAGAACTCATAACTCCGCATGAAGCTTACCAGCACCACTTTCTTCTTGATGCCATTGTGCAGCTCATCTGAGCCAAATGCCACATTGGGGCTCGGCGAGCTCAGCGCAGCATGAAGAAATCTCAGGACCAGCCAGTTTGAAGTTGCACCAAGGATAGAAGAAACTAACGTCAGAGATGAATCAGGCAGATTTGATACATATGAAGCGAGGAGGGGCGGTAGTGGGGGTTGAGAGGGCATGATTGCGCCTCGGTGCAGATATCAATGCCGTCCTTTGTTCCTGGCAGGTTGAAGATGGACTAGGCCAGATTATTTCACTCCTTCTTCTTCGATTATTGAGTCTTTGTTTGGAAGTGTTGCTGCTGATCGAGTCGTGGAGATGATGTCGAGAAAAAATGTCTCCGGCTTGTGATTGGCCCCTCCAGTATCCAGCGATGCCAAGACATAGGATTTCGAGGTGATATTGCATGGGATTTGATTTCTCTTGTTATTTTTCGGTTTATTTTCTCTTAGATATGAAGATGATACAATTATTAACCTATATTTAAATTTCCGGCTATTTCCTGCTTAAAATATCTGGATTAAATGCTATCAAAACGTCGTATGCAAGCAATATATATAGTTTCTGCTATATACTTCACGTTTAATATATACACCCTGCGCTTTGAAACCCCAACTGATGTAGCTAATAAGAGTCAAAGTACAAATAATATAGCATCTAAGACTTGAAATAATATACCAAGCAGTCAACAAGGGCTGCAATCGAAATCATAAAAGATTTCTGCCTGAGGCACCGATATGAGTTTTCTGCACGTATCACCTGACCGGTTTCCCCACCATCGAGGGGAGCGATGGATGCATCTTATCCATCGCATTGCAAGAGGCTGTGCTCTAGTGCCGATCGTGAGTATATTTTCCATTCTAGAGATCACTTCCACACCGCTCTGTGTATACACATCCCAGCCCTACCATGCTTATGTGCTATACCTGATACCCGATGTGGGGTCTCGCGAAGCATTTTCTGTGCATTATATCAAATGCATTAGCTAACTTTTTATACAGATGACTGCCGTTGTATGGCATGATCATAGCGTATTGGATACAAGATACGAGACATCCAACTTACCTCGATAAAGATGGCTAGCACTCGTGATTCCCACTCATTTGCTGTATGTATTGATCCGTCTGCATGATAGCTGAGGTATAAAATGCTAGAGTTGAAGTCTGACTGCCCAAATAGTGCGACGAATGCCGCTTGCGCAAGTCAAGAGTAAGTGCCTTCTTTATTAAACATATGCAGGCCTTGGCCCATTTAACCCGGGTTTTATAGTGCTCAAAAGAGCGACCAGTCTGTCTGCAATGTCGACAGCTGAACAAAGAATGTATATACAGCCCCAAAGTCAGCAGAAGTCCTTTGACTCGGCAGTAAGTGACCAGGACAGGAAAGTGTTTTGTATTTGAAGACAAGACTAACTTGACCACTTCAGACACTTAACCTATGTTGAAGATCGCCTACACTCATTTGAAACAGCCCTAGGAAGGCTTTTCCCAGGTGGTGATCTGGATGCTACACTCCGCTCTCTTTTGCAAAACCCAGAGGTCCCAAGGGCCCCTTCATCCAAGTCCTCTTCAAGGCACTCAACCCCCAAACATGAGCCAGAACGGGCCGAGCCAGCACCAGAAGCTCTCCCACAGCAAGCCGATGGCTTTGACTGGGCTGAAAAAGAAATTACGCTTGGTGATTTGACAGACGGCATGGCCGCGCTATCTATTAAGCCCGAAGGAGCTGGCTACTTTGGTTAGTCCATTCAATATTTATTATGGATTATGCTTGTCGTTTTCCAAACTGACAAATAGATCACAGGAGCGTCTTCAAGTGTCGTACCATTACGAGCACTTTTTGATCATGGATTTGATCTGAACATACCTGTGCGCTCGGCAAGGTCAGGAGGCGTGCCTCTCAAAGCACAACTTCTGGAAAGTGCCCCATCTGGACTGATTGAGCAAGCGTTCATCGACGCTTTTTTCCTCAATTACCATACCAGCTATCCATTTATTCACGAGCCTACCTTCCGAATGCAGTTTAACGACCCATCTCTACGCCCACATGGTAACGCCTGGCATATCCTCTTAAACACGATATTAGCTCTTGGAGCCTGGTGTATCGGGGATGACAGCTCAGACCTCGATATCACATTCTATCAAGAAGCCAGAGGATACTTGCAGCAGGCATCTGTATTTGAGACTGGCAATTTGACATTGGTCCAAGGATTATTGTTACTGAGCAACTACGCACAGAAACGGAACAAGCCCAACACCGGATGGAATTATCTTGGCCTAGCAGTCCGAATGGCCATGAGTTTGGGTCTTCACAAGGAGTTCCCTGGCTGGAAGATCAGTCTTTTACAAAGAGAAATCCGCAGAAGATTGTGGTGGGGAGTTTTCATCTTCGACAGCGGCGCAGCCAAAACTTTCGGAAGACCGATCCTCCTTCCAGAGGACAGTGTCATGGATGCAAAGCAGGTTCGAAATATCCACGAAGAGGTATTCGCAACAAATATAAATCACGAAAAACGCAGTTATAACTAATCAATTACAGGCATTAACCCCCACAACAATAACTTTGCCAGCCGAATCACCCGGCCCAACCATCTACTCTGGCTTAATTGCCCAGGCTAGCTTCCACCTCCTTACCAACAGCGTCTACCAACGCCTCATTTCAAGCCCCAGCCTCACTCCAGAAGACACACTGAACCTTCAAAAACCCATCGAAGAATGGTACAACAGTCTTCCATCCTACCTGCAACACCCGCAGTTGCCTCTCTCTATGCAGCCAACCCATCCAGACCCGGACTCTCTCGCACTCGTGCGCAATCGCCTGCTATGGCGAAACTGGAACCTCACTATTCTGATCTATAGACCAATCCTACTCCGCTGGGCCGCTAGACGTTGGGCCCCACTTACCGGCAGCGGCCCAGGCACCCCGGATGCAGGGTCTGAAGATCCCTTCGAGACAGAGTGTCGAATGCGCTGTCTCCAGAATGCGCGTCTGACCATCTCTTCCATTTCGGAGTACATGGCGAACTATATGTGCACCAGACTTGGGGCATGGTATATGCTGTATGTATTTCCCCATACCTAACTAATACTTCACAAGAATGACATCTAACATAAAAAAAATATAGCTACTTCCTCTTCCAAGCAGGCCTCATCCCCATAGTCTTTCTAATGACCGACCCCTCAAACCCCGAAGCCGCCTCCTGGCTCCAGGACATTGAAACCACAAAATCCCTTCTAACCCACCCCTCCCTCGGCACAAACCGCTTCGCAACCCGCTGCTTCGAAGTTATCAACCGACTCCTTGGCCCACCTACGCACTCAGTGCCACAGGGGCTCCCAACCGACGCAGACCAGCTCGACCCCCAGCAACACCAGCACCAGCACATGTCCCCGCAACCACTGCCTAACATGATGCCGTT